AAACTACGACTGTTGTCAAATGAAAACTAGAGAATAACATTATGTGAAAATTGTTACAACATATAGACTACCCTCAACCACCCCAAGACCCAAATACACTCACACTCTTCAAAGCAAATATTTAAATATCCCTCATGTCACTCTAACAGGATAGTTTTAGAGTAAAAAATCAAATACAAGTTTAAAGTACTTCTGACTGGTACATCTTGTAATGAAGAACTTTAATCTTTTATATAGCCTTAGAATTCCTCTTCATTTACAAACTAAGAGATGTGAGACTTCTTCGACATGTATACTTTCAACTAACGTCAACAATCTCCACCTTGATTGAAAATAGTACAATAGTTTTCATTATCTTCACCGACAATCATACTTCACAATAAAGAGTAGAGTCACTTGAAGCTACACCACTTGAGTCATAGTTTAAAAACTATCATACTCTAGCTAAAAAAGAGTATAATTGACTTGAAGTTAAACCACTTTAAGAATTCTGACATGTCAAAAACTAGATTGAAAACTTATGGTGTAACTTCCATGTTGGTGGAAAACTCTTCAACCATCGACATAATCTCACAAAACACTTTGCATCAATGTCCATGTATTAATCCGCTAGCAATAACTTGTCCTTTTTCATGACAGCAAAAATGCCATGTAGACACACATAAATTTTTTAAGAGAAGATCATCCTCTCCCACATTGAGGAAGACATTGCTCACTACTACAGAAATGATTTTTGGCAGCGCATGAAAAGACAGCGCTTTTTGAAAAAGCGTTGTTAAAGAGTCACGAAAAAAAAGAAAAAAATTAGTAGACTTTAGACAGCGCTTTTAAAAAAGCGCTGCTAAAGGTGGCACCTACGAAAGCGCTTTATAAAAAGCGCTGCTAAAAGTAGACCCTATGAAAGCGCTTTTAGAAAGCGCTGCTATAGGTGTCACCTACGAGAGCGCTTTCAGAAAACACTACTATAGGGGCATTCTAAGAAAGCGCTTTTAGAAAAGCGTTGCTATAGGTTGTACAAAAGACATCGCTTTTATAAAAGTGCTGCTATAGGTCCTGCCTTATCAGACCTTAGAGAGCGCTTTTATAAAGCGCTGCTAAAGGCCATGCAAAAGCGCTGATGTAGGTTTAAGTGACATATATTAAAAAAAACTCAGAAAAACTCATAAACAGAAACAGTCGTGATTATCTCTGCTCGCAACCCAGAAGAATCCTTAAAAACTCAGAAACAAAAATCTTCCATTTCCGCCTCTGTCGCCGTCCATTTCCGTCTGTTTTTGGCATTCTTCCATTTCCGTTTCCGTGGCAGTCCGTTTTCAGTCTGTTTTTGGCAATATTCTTCCATTTTGTCCGTCTGTTTTTGGCATTGTTCCAACTTCTTCCTCCACCCATTTTGTACGAAATCTACAGGTTTTTTTCATACTGTATTTTGATGCAATGGTATATATAATGGATTTGTTTTCTTACTGAGTTTGCTTTTAAATTTTTTAGCAATGATGACTAAAATATATATAAGTGTTGCATTATGTTGTTGTTTGTTCTTGGTGGCATTATGTTGTTATTTGTTCTTAGTGGCATTATTTTGTTGTTAGTTCTTTGATACAAGATTAACATTTTGTTTAGGTTTGATATTGTTTCAACTATTTTTATACAAATTTGATATTGTCCAATGCCATGCCATGTAGAAATTTGTTAAAGAGTTAACAAAGTTAGAAATTCTATTAAAGTTAGTTGTTAGGATGCAATTAAATTGAATTAGAGGTTAGTGAAGTATTAGTTGTGAAAATGGAATATTGTTGTTGTTAGTGTTGTTGTTAGTGTTGTTGTTGTTAGTGTTGTTGTTGATGGAAAAAAATAATGTTAATGTTGTTGTTGTTAGTGTTGATGCTAATGATATTGTTGTTGATATTGCAAAAAGAAATAACTATTACTTTGTGTGAGCTTGAAATATATTTTCCTCCATTATTTTTTGACATAATGGTACATCTAGTTGTTCATCTTGTGAAAGAGACACAACTGTGTGGACCAACTTATATGAGATGGTTGTACCCTGTTGAACGTTATATGAAAATATTAAAAGGGTATGTGAAAAACCAAAGTCGACCAGAGGGTTGTATTGTTGAACGATACATTGTTGAAGAAGCGATTGAGTTTTGTACTGAATATTTGTCCAATGTTCAATCCATTGGCCTCCCAAAATCTCATGTTGTTGAAAAATAGAAGGAAAACAGTTAATTGGAAATAAATTTGTGACAGTTTCAAGGGATGAGCGGGAGGAAGTGCATTTGTATGTTCTGCACAATGACATTGAGATTGAGGCGTATGTTGAAATGCACAAGGACGCTCTCCGAGGTTTAAATCTGAATAGAAATGAAAATTGGATAGTACGTGAGCACAATCGAAGTTTTATAACATGGTTCAAGGATCATATTTTTTCAAAGTTTTATTCTGATCCCGCTTCAATAACAGAAAGGTTGAGATGTTTAGCATATGGTCCAAGTTTGCATGTGTTTTCTTATAGCGCATACGCAATTAATGGATACACATTTTATACCAAAGAACAAGATGATAAAAGTATAATGCAAAATAGTGGTGTCACCGTACTTGCCGAAGCAATGCAAATTTCAAGTGTGAAGGACTTAAACCCCAAATATGCAAATCTGTCGTATTTTGGGGTTATCGAGCGCATTTGGGTGTTTGATTATGAGAAGTTTTAGATTCCTATCTTTGGATGCAAGTGGGTTGAAAATAATAGTGGCATAGAAATGGATAACTCAGGATTTTTGCAAGTGGATCTTAATAAGGTGGGGTACAAAGATGAGCCTTTTATTCTAGCCACGCAAGCTAAACAAGTGTTCTATGTCACTGATCCGACAAGTACGAAATGATCTATAGTTCTTTTTTTCCAACAAAGTAATCGATGATAACATTGGAGACAAGGGTGATGTTGATGTTGAGAAGGAATCTTATATTATAGATGATTCAGATGAGAATATTAGAGCGGACGACTTATATATTAGAAATGATCATAACAAGGAAATTTGGATCAATCCATCCGTCTGTGTTGTTAAGAGACAAGTAAACCACGTTCCAGCGAAGAAAAGAAAGAGATGTTAGTGACAAAGGTACTTGTAAAATTACATATTTTCACATTTTTTACTGTTATAGTGATTCTACTTGATAAAACTATTTAAACTATATATCCTCATAAATGATCGTTTGTTTTTTTCCATTTACAGTGTCCTCGTCAGCGCAATGGGATTGATTGCGGATATTTTGTATCGCGCTTTATGAAGGATTAAATAAAGTGAGTTGTTTAAATGTCAAATCTTTTCATATTTCCAACATCTCACACCCGTTTCATTGTTTTTCTTCACATAAGGTCTTCCTCTAGAAACCAACATTGAGTTTGATGAAGTATTATCCCCACCCTTCAATCATCTTTTTTCAGAATTAATTTTACTAGCAACTTCTTCAAAACTCAAAGTTTCCTTCCCATATATCAAAACAAGTTTAATATGCTCATAGAAAGATGGAAGAGACCATATGAGTCTCAAAGCTTTATCTTCATCAATCCTGACTGCAATAGTTTCTAATTCAGAAACATTAATGCCACTAAGAACACTTGAATGATCTGATATTTTCGTATGTTCATCCATACACAAGCTATGAATTTGTTCCTTCAACAACAACTGCTTTGATATACTCTTTCCTTGATAAAGCCCTTCAAGTTTCTCCCAGAGCTCTTTGGTTGACGATGTACCAAGAACATTCACAAGAATATTCTTAGCCACAGACATGCGGGTAATACTTAAAGCCTCAAATCTAGTTCCCCCAACTTTACGTTGTCCATGTTGGAAATGTTTCATTTCAACGTCTTTTGTAATCCTAATTATATCAAAACATCTTTGACTTGATTTTTCCACAAGGCAAAATTGATTCTTCCTTCAAATTTTTTGAAGTAAATTTTTACTTCACATGAAAAACTTGACATTGAAGGTAAAACCTTTCTTGCAACAAAAAAAAAAACTCAACTAATACAGAGTATAAAATTTCTTTTCTGTGTAAGATCAGATAAAACTACAACAACACAGCATACTGAAAAGTTTATACATCATTCTTATCTGTTTTATATTCAATTGAGAGAATAAATAAAGTTAAAATCTTTAAATGAAAATAAAAAGAGTTTTGTGGAGAATAAATTAGAAGACGTTTAATGCTAAAAAAAATTTCTATTGGCCCATAGGCAACCGAGAAGATAACTATAAATTTTTCTATCGGTTCAATTGTCAATCGATTAAATAAAGTGAGTTGTTTAAATTTTGAAAATGACCCTGCATTTGATTTTTTTCATCTCGTTCAAAATTTCCACCATTACTGTATCTCTTTAAAACATTTATATTTTATAGTAGTGTAAACTTTGGAGTGATTGGTGGTTATTTATATTTTATAGTAGTGTAAAATTTCCACCATTACTGTATCTCTTTAAAACAAGACGGTATTGTCCTTTGTCCAACTTGCTCAGCAATCCAACAATTTTTCTTGGACCACTCCGGTGCAACAATCCTTCCAGCATGAAAGAACTAAACTGTTAAATATCTTAAAATGTCTACTTAGAGCAAACAAATCCAATTAAATAATAAATAAAAGCCTAGTGTTTTATTATAATAAATAAATAAATAAACGACATGAGTGAGTTATCATGATATTTCATGCGTGTACCTTATCAAAACGAAGTTTCTTTTTAATTTTTAATACCGTGCATACGTGTATATACCTTTCATCTTTAATTCATCAGATAGCTTGATACTCCATCTTTCACTTTTTCCATCTCAGCAATTGCTTGTCTCTTCTTCAAAGTTGGTTCCTTTCTATCCCATTTCCTTTTTATGTCCCATTATAATTTCATCTTCTTTTTATCCTTTTTATCCATTACGTCATTACAAACATTACCAGCATAGTTTAAATAGACACTGAAACAAGAGACCATAACATAAGAGAAAATGGCTGATTGGGGTCCAATTTTTGTGTCTGTGGTGCTCTTCATTCTCTTGACTCCCGGATTGCTTTTTCAAATACCTGGGAGGGGAAGGTTTATAGAGTTTGGAAACTTTCAAACTAGTGGATTGTCTATACTCATTCATGCTATGCTCTACTTTGCTCTTGTTTGCATCTTCTTCTTAGCTATTGGAATTCACATGTATGCCGGGTGATTAATATGAACGGTTGAATTATATGAAATGTATTTCGAGTTTGTTTAGTTTGAATTTAGACGTATATTAGAAAAATATTGAATTAACGATCAAATTTAAAGATGGAAAAGATGAAGTTTTTGCTGAGTAGGATAAATGTCATCTTTTTCCCCGATAAATTTTGGTCGTTAATTCAATTTCTTCTTATATATAGTGTGACCTAATTTTGGGTGGTTAATTTAGACGTATGTATTTTTTATCTTTTCATGTTTTGATATTGATCAAGTTTAATGCTGCAACAACAATTGATTTATGAATATTATGTTTCATGCTTAGTGTTATGTTTTTGAGGTTTGATTTGACACAAAATGTTTTTCGATGAGACTTACTAATCATCAGGGTTTTAAATAACAGTCATTGCGGTGTAGATTAACTATATTTTCTTTTTTATCATAAAAATAATAAATTACAGTATTGATATCGATATCTTTCCACGTTGTTTTGTCGACGTTTTAAAACCTTGCTAATCATAATTGTGTATAATCATAAAAAATAGTACTACCAAAACTAGTACTACTTAAAAACATTTTAAATTTATGGTAAAATAAATTTAAATTTAAATGTACGGATAATATAAAAGGATTTTATACTGTCGTTTAATTCTAATTATTAAATGTTTGAAGAAGTTTAACCTTCATTTTAGTAATTAATAAAATAATATTAATAGATGATCGAAATCGGTTTTGTTTATTGTGGCTCAATAGATTTTGAGTTGATTAAACAATTTTAGATGCAATTTGGAATATAAATAAAATGTTGTGATTTTGAAATAACATTATTGAGACGAATGAGTTACTCATTGTATTTAGGATGAGTACAATAGATGGTTCTACCTATGATTACACGAAAACCGTATCAATCTATATAGAAATGTGTTACCTTTCTTTTTCTTTCTCTATGATTATTTTTATTCTTGTAGTGATACATAAAAATTTCAAAAAAGTCTGCTAGTTTTTAATTTCTAATATTTTTTATCTTTTTATTTTTCTTTTATATTACAAACAACTTTTGAGAAAATCTTGTCATCTAATAATCTAATAATTTTAATACAAGTATTCTTGTATTTAGATATGTCAAAAAGACTATCCGACTCTAAATGCATCAATTTTTATAAAGTCTAGTCAAAACAACTATGTTCTAAATGAGTCTTATACCCTTTTAGCTATTGTCTTAAATCTGGGATGTTTCGATGATTCTTCATTAAAGTGTTACCACAGCGAACCTTCGCTGACTTGTTCGCACTGCGAACTTACGTGTCTATTGCTACTGTCTCAAATCTGGGAGCATTCGCTGGTTCTTCGCCAGCTATTCGCAAAGCGAATGTTCACTACCAAGTTTGCCCATCAAACTTTCTATTCTTATTCTTTTCCTTTGGCAACTTTGTTCACTTTCCTTATGTCTCACACTTTGATGACTTAATGCATATTATCTGCACAATAACACACAAATCAAAGATGCCAAAGATGATTTCAAGTAATTGAAGAATGACAACTTTCAAGTATCAATATTAACAAATCAACACAAAAGAGATTGAAAAATGCCCAATATACATGATTAAATTAAGACAAGATTGACATCTAACAAACTCTCCCCAACTAACTCTTTGATTGCCCTTAAGCAAAGTATGTCTCTCATTGAAAACAATTGGATTTGCTCAAGCATTTAACTCAACCAATAAGGACTTTATGACTCAAATAAACAACAAATGTATACAAGTTATGATTACAACTTCCTAGAATCAAACAATGCAAAAGAACTTAGTTCTTAAACAAATATCAAACAATGATTCAAGTAACAACTAAACTATCATGCTCATATCTATCTAACACTCCTCTTCGAAAAAGAATTGAAGGAAATACACGCATACAAACGCGGGAAAATTTCGCTCATCTGACAAATGATGCAAATACAAATCAATTCATACAATATCTAAACGATCAATAAAGAAATACGGAAGAAAAAAGATCACTAAGGGCTTTTAAGGTTGTAGCTTGGTCGGATTCACAATAAAGAGACATTTCTAAAGGCCATTGAATCGAAATTGCTGATGCAAAAGAAACATTCACTATACAAGGTATTTACACATCCCAATTTCATTCACCACTTTCATTCCTCTAATCACAAACTTTTTCAAACTTCCTTATGCACAATTATTATGTTATCTATTTTTCTATTTCAAGCAAACATTCTTTTTCTTTTTGTTTTTCACATTCACATTCACATTTTTTTTTTCTTTTTATGCTTGCTTGAAAATTTTCAAAAGTTTTAGCAACTTACCATTCTTCTTTTTCATTCTCCCCAACTTATTTTCAACCAAACCTTAAGTGAGTGCTTCTTGCTTTTTATGGCAAGGAAATAAATTAAAACAATGCTCAAAGGTTCAAGAAAATTTTTTTTATAGAATCTCACAAAATTCAATGATGAACTATATTTTCAAATTATGTACATACACAAAGTTCATCACTAAAACGAGATCTAAACTGTTTAGGCTCAAAGGGTTAACGAATACTCACTACTCACGGGTAAGTTACTATTTGGAAATGGTTGTGCTCATTATAAACAAATGCCTTGATCATTTTTAATGCTTCCACAAAATCAAACAAATCACAAGATAAAGCATGAATCAAAAGTTCTAAACAAAATTTATCAACCATCCTATGCATTTAGTAGACAATGGAGGCTTCTCATCATTTTGACTTTTGGATCTAAGTGATACAAGTATTCAACAAAGTTGCAACAAGAAACAAAACTACATTTGCAAAAAGAAAAGAAGTTCCTAAACATTCTACATCATAGAAAGAGGTAACCATGTGTACCTTGCCAACATTTACATGCTTAAATACTATCATTGACATCCAAACTTGAAAGAATCTTCATTGATGACCTATCATCACTATTCTAGAAGTTCTTACATCTCCAACCAAAAAATGGAAACGTTAAAATTTACACAAGCATACCAACAATACACATAAATAAGCATACCAACAAACTTTAAGAGTTGAACATTCCTAAACTGAAGAATTCAACTCTTAACAACATAATAAAAGAAAAATAAAAGTAAAAAAAATGCAAGTTGAACATTCTTAACTAAAGAACCCAACTGATAATAATAATAACAACAATAATATGCTATGGTGTTGAAACACCAACAAAAGTATTTGTACCCTAAACATGGTACATAATACAACAATATTCAAAATGATCCAACAAGTGGATAAAGTACAACACAAGATAATAAATAACCATAAATAAAACTAGCAATGATCAAATGCATACAGAAAACTTCACTTTATAGACCAAAGGAAGTTGCATAGGATCATGCTCAAAATGACATCAATCAACAAAAAAGAACTAGTCCTCTTCGGACTCTGTCTCCTTATCATCATCATCATCAACCTCCTATAAACCTGCCTCCTCACCATCATCATCACCATCATCAACATTACCACCCTCATTTCTGGCCTCCTCAACAGCATCATCGGGACCTACATCTGCCCCCTTCGCCAAACTGTGGCCTAGCCTCAGGCCATGAAGCATGTCCTAGGAATTTCTCCTTAGACATCATAAAATGCTCACCCAAGGGTTCCCTATACTGTAGCTGAAGTACCTGCATAGAGTCATGTAAGTCAATCATGGTGCACTGAGTAGATGTCATCCAATCCCAATTATAACTACATACCTCCCTCTGAAATGGGTCAAAAGCATGAGAGTCTGCAGGCTTAGAACTAGAAGCACTGCCAGCATTAGTACATGCGCTAGATGTCTATCCTCTCAAACCTTTTAGCTTACAACACTTGTCCACATATCGATCATCAACCGCAGTAGGGAATCGCAGCACGCATAAGGCCATAATCAAATAGGGAAAGACTAAGGGACAATTCTTCATAGAAGCTGAACCAAGCACACTTTCTACCACTGCACTCATCTTATCTGCGATGGTTTGAGCCACATCAATATGTGCATTGGTTAGTGTATTATGGAAAAGGTGAGTAATTGGGATCGTCACAGTAGAGGTGTGCGACTTTGGCTTTATATTGGTCAAAACCAACAAAAGAATAAGATGTACCAAAGGATGCATGTCCTCTCTGTGATATCTTAGAGGAACCTCATACAATTCTAATTCAAATGATTTCCCCTCAAGCAACAAATCACAAGAAATAATATCAGTATCTCTGTGCAACCTCAAAGTGTGGTGATATGCGTCTGTCTCTTACTTTCCCAAAGACATAGGATTACCTAAAATAGTGTTGATGGTATCACGATCAAATTTTACCTCCCTTCCACCAACCATGGTAGTCCACATGGATAACTCGTCATCATTTGGGAGTGCATTTGTGTAGAACTCTCTCACAAGGTCTACATCGTAGCTATCACTAGGTGTGATTAATCTATCCCACTTCTTGCTTTTAAGGATTCTTGCTACCGCTCGGTAGGATCCTTCTGGGTTGATGTTGAAACGTTTTTTAGGTATGATGCTTCTTTTTTCGAGTGTTAGGTAACAAGCCGCCTGTTTTTCTCCTATGAACCTGTCCAAATCAAATTGGATTGAGGTCGGACGTGATAAGCTTCCAAATTTTTACTTCTTCCACGAAACGATCTTAGGAGCCATCTGCACAAGCACCAAACAAAAAAACAAGCCAATACACTATTTACATTAGTGAGGAAACAAAAAAAATAGAATCAGAACCAAAATTCAGCATCACCAAATTTTTTGAAAAATCTGTCATGTTCGCCTACAAGTTCGCTAGGCGAAGCCATCGTGAATACTCACCCCAGGTTCCTCGTACGAACTCATGGCGAACCCTGCGAATTCTGATTCTGCAGGTTCTTCCTACAAGCTTAAATGCACAGAGATTTTTCCAATTAAGCATTCTATTTCAACTATGATAAAACCCACATGCATAATAAAAGAAACAACAAAAATAGAACATGCATTGGATTTATGCAACCTAGAATTAAGT